TATTTATCTACATGATTTATAGTCCGCCTTCTTCATTGAGATTCAAGGCAGATAAAAGAGTCCGAGTCCAAGACAATCGATGGGCTGGTACACCCAACAAACAAAGCAGTGAGGTTTGGACTGCAGAAGTGCGAAAACAGAGAAAAAACGAAGTTGGAGCAAAGCTTAGGCGCGCGCTCACACGGCATCAAGCGACGCAGAAATCACAGAGTAGGGCATACAGCAACTGAATATTACTGTAAATAGCAGTATAGAAGAAGGAGAAGAGAGAAGAGATTGGTTTCATACCCCGCCCTTCACTCACAGTCTCAGAGTGGCTTACAATCGCCTTCCCTTCCCCTCCGCACAACAGACACCCTGTGAGGCAGGTGGGGCTGAGAGAGCTCTCTTGAGGACTGCTCTTGCGAGAACAGCTCTGAGAGAACTTGTGACTGACATAAGGTCACCCAGCCATGTGGAGTACAGTCCACGCTCCTAACCACTACATCACACTGGACTCCCACAGTCCACAGTCCCTACCCCTTTATCAAAGCATCTTTCTGAAACTCTTCTTTGCAGGACAGTCCTAGGATTGCCATACCCCACCCCCCCCGGTTGGGTGGGGTTTACTTGCTTTTTGTGGGTTCAACCTCCCACTAGCCAGCTGACAGGTGGGGGAAGCCCTGCCCCCAAGCCCCCATTTAAAGGGAAGTTTCCCTTTAAATAGTAGGAAGAAGAAGAGGAGGAGATTGGATGTCTCAGAGCAGCTTACAATCTCCTTTCCCTTCCCCTCCCCCCAACAGTCACCCTGTGAGGTAGGCGGGGCTGAGAGAACTCTTTCCAGAACTGTCCTTGAGGGAACAGCTCTGACGGAACTGTGGCTCACCCGAGGTCATCCAGCAGCTGCAAGCGGAGGAGTCGGGAGCCAAACCCGGTCCTCCCAGATTAGAGTCCGCGCACTTAAACCACTGCACCAGACTGGCTCTCAGGAAATAAAGCGGGGACGTGATGACGTCACGCAGTGATGTCACTGTGCTGGGGAGGTGGCCACGCCCCCTACCCCCCCCCCCCACGGCCAGGGAGAATATCGGACCCGGCAACCCTACCTAACTGGGGACGTGGAAGAGTATGGTACAGCCCAGTCTCGCCAGCTAAGCAGGGTCAGTACTTGGATGGGAGAACGGTAAGGAAGGCTCTGCAGGGGAAGGTGATGGCCAGCCGCCTCTGCTTCTCACTCTTCTCGAAAGCCCCTTGCTGGGGTTGCCGTAAGTCATTGCAACTTGACAGCACAGCCACACTGAGAGCCAGCTTGGTGTAGTGGTTAGGTGCACGGACTCTAATCTGGGAGAACCGGGTTTGATTCCCCACTCCTCCACATGCAGCTGCTGGTGTGACCTTGGGCAAGCCGTAGCTCTGATAACAGCTGTCCTTGAAAAAGAGCAGAGCTCTCTCAGCCCCGCCTACCTTGCAGGGTGTCTGTGGTGGGGAGGGGAAGGGAAAGGAGTTTGTAAGCCGCTCTGAGACTCTTGAATAGTGAAGGGCGGGGTATAAATCCAATCTCTTCTTCTTTGTCACGTGCAGGTCCAATTGCCTGTGGACCAAAAAAGCCCTCCTGAATAATTCATCTTTGCATGGCCACGAAGGGCTTTATATGCGATCGCCCATCCCTTGAATTGAGCTTGGTGACTGACGGGCAGCCGGTGGAGCGACTGCAGACTGGGAGCGACATGCATGCTTCGTTGAGCTGCTGACAGCTGAGCTGTGGCATTCGGGAGTTTCAGAGTTGATTCCAAGGGGAGACCTGTGTAGAGTACATTACAGTAGTCTAGTCTCAAGAGCCTGCTTGGTGTAGTGGCTAAGAGCGGCAGACTCTAATCGAGACCTGGGTGTGATTCCCCACTCCTCCTCCACATAAAGCCAGCTGGATGACCTTGGGTCAGTCCCAGCTTTCTCGGAGCTGTTCTCTCAAGAACAGTTCTCTGACAGCTCTCTCAGCCCCACCTACCTCACAGGGTGTCTGTTGTGGGGACAGGAAGGGAAGATGATTGTAAGTCACTCTGAGACTCCTTCGGGTAGAGAAGAGTGGGGTATAAAAACCAGCTCTTCTTCTTACAAGTACTTCTCCATCCAAAGAGTTATTAACACATGGAATTCACTGGCGCAGGAAATGGTGGCGGCTACAAGTCCAGACAGCTTCAAGAGGGGATTGGGTGAACATCTGGGGCAGAGGTCCATCTGTGGCTAATAGCCACAAGGCACAGATGGAACACACTGTCTGGGTCAAGTGATGCTCTGTATTCTTGGTGCTTAGGGGGCAACAGTGGGAGGGCTTCTGGAGTTCTGGCCCCACTGGCGGATCTCCTGATGGCACCTGGGTTTTGGACACTGTGTGACACAGAGTGTTGGGCTGGATGGGCCACTGGCCTGATCCAACATGGCTTCTCTGATGTTCTTACCATGGCATAGGAGGAGGGAAGACTTCCTGGCTAAATTAAATTGGAAGAAAGAGGGTTTTTTGCATTTGTGTTAACTTGCTTTTAGAAGAGCAATGCCAGATCCGCTTCAGGCCCCCGGAGGGCTTCCATCAGGCCCGCAGTGGAACTGGCCATCTCCTCCTTCCAGTTCTGCTGCTGCATCATAGCCTGCTTCACCAGACTCTCTTAATCACTCAGCCATTTCATGTTTTCACCTGGGTCCTAGACTCAGAACTCTTGAGCATGAGATTTCTGTGGTGTCCATGAATCAAAAGTAGGTTTGCAGCTTACAGAGCTAATGTTTTAAGCATGTTTTTATTGTAAGTAAAAAAAAAAAATCTTGGTGTTTGTGTCCTTTATAAAGTATACATCTCCGCTATCCGGCATTACATTTTATGACACATGTCGCCCGTCCCAACAAGGTCTCATTTATGTCAGATCCGGCCCGCAGAACAAATGAGTTCGACACCCCAGCCCTAGTCTCTTAAAGTGAGCAAGGGTCAGAGAGCCAGCATGACCTCTGTCTTGTCTGGGTTAAGTTTCCGTTTGTTATATGGATAACGCCCAGTTCCAAAGCTACACAGGATTTCTCCTAGATGCTTCACACAGAGGTTGAATAACATGGGGGGACTCCACAGGACATTTCCCACAATGAACATAGCTGGTTTCCGATGGCAACCCTTTGAGTCTGGTGACTCCGGTCCATGAGGAACGACAGAACCAGTTCAAAGAAACACCCAGTTTGGGGTAGTGGTCAGGAGCGCAGACTCCAATCTGGGAGAACCGGATTTGATTCCCCACTCCTCCACATGCAGCTGCTGGTGTGAACTTGGGTCAGTCACAAGTTCTCTCAGAGCTGTTCTCTCAAGGGCAGTCCCTGAGAGAGCTCTCCCAGCCCCACCTGCCTCACAGGGTGTCTGTTGTGGGGAGGGGAAGGGAAAGGAGACTGTGAGCTGCTCTGAGACCCCGAGTGAAGAGCGGGCTATGAATCCAATCTCTTCTTCTTCTTCTGCCTACTCCTGCATCCAAACGCCTCAACAGGATGGCAGGATCCAAAGCAACAAGGGCATCTGACCAATCCAGGAGGAGCGTCAAAGAGCTTTTGTCTACATTCAGGCAGCGGCCAACACCTGAGCCCGCAAGAGACGTCTCTGTCCCATAGCCTGGCCTGAAACCTGCCTGAAAAGGGTTCAGAGTGCGTGAGTTACTCAAAAAGACCTGCTTCTGAGGGCAGCCATTTTGGTCTGCAATGAAACAGTGAGATTCAAGTCCAGAAGCCCCTTAGAGAACAAGAGTCAAATCTCCCTTTGCCAGATACAAGCAGGAACAGTCCTCATATCCATTCCTACTTGTATTGGATGAAGGCAGCGTCGACTCTCGAAAGCTCATCCTCTGGAGATCTTGTTGGGTTCTGAGGTGCTACTGGACTCGAATCAAGAAGACGAAGAAGACGACGAAGAAGAAGAAGAGATTGGATTCATACCCCGCCCTTCACTACCCGAAGGAGTCTCAGAGCGGCTCCCAATCTCCTTTCCCTTCCCCTCCCCACAACAGACACCCTGGGAGGTAGGCGGGGCCGAGAGAGCTCTCTCGAGAACTGCCCTTGAGAGAACAGCTCTGAAAGGACTTGTGACTGACCCAAGGTCACACCAACTGGCTGCACGTGGAAAAGCTGGGACCCAAACCCGGTTCTCCCAGATTAGAGTTCACGCTCCTAACCACTACACCAAGGTGGCTCTCAGCTACTGCGCTGTTGATCACTTTTCCCAGGAAGGGCAGCTTAGAGACTGGGCGATAACTGGCCACAATGTTTTTCTGTGGGGATGTGAGTTTTTGGAAAGCGGCGGACAGAGAACCCCCTCTTTGAGTGGCCAAAGAGCGGGGCCCTGTGTTCGTGACTGTTTATGATGCACATCAAGGGCTCATTAAACATGGAGGGCAGTTCCCCTTTCCCTTCTACTGGGGTGGTTATTCCACAGTCCGATTCTGTCTGCCTGAGGTCTCCCCGCGACTGTAAAGGAACACTGACTTTCTCTGTGAGGGGCCGGTCTTACAGCTTCCGTGACTGGCGTGGCTGTTGGCTACTTTACTATTAATAGCAGCATCATTTTTCTTTTAAAAATAGAGCTTTTACAGAGCTGCTAAAAGGAACACCTTCTCCCCCAGGGACTGGGAAAGATGACGGAGGCATATTTACCTCACGGCTAAACTCTTCAGGCCTCCCCCCCCCTTTCTGAACCTGAAGGCGACACTAAGGCCTCATGACGGACCATGAAATGGTGTAACCTTCCTTTAAAGCTACCGGCGGCACCGCAACATCATGGGGCAGTGAGTTCCACAAGCTAATTCTGGGGTTAGCTCTTTCCTTGTAGAGAACACACAGCAGTAATATGTTGGGATTAAGGTTTCTCCAGGATTCACAGTGTCCTCTCCTAAGAGAACGCACGAGAAGACGGGAGGATGAAACGGGAATCAAACTGGTTTGCATTTGCAGAAGAGAGAAAAGTTCACATAGCGCCGCCCCCCATTCCTCCTTCCCCCTCTCACCAGCTTGAGTTTCTCTTTCTCCTTATCTTGGAGACGGCTCAAGTGTTGGGCGAGGTCCGCCCGCCCGCGGGGACCCTCCAGCTGTCCTTTGATCTGCAGGATTTCCTGCGAGATCCCGTTGAAGGCCTGTGTGATCTCGTGCACCAGCTGACGGTAGCGGACGAAGTCGTACGAGGGACCGCTTCTCAGGTAGGCCCGGTGGCCTCTGTGGACAGAAAAGTACCGTGAAAGGGGAGCGCAAATGTCACCCTCCCTGGTCAGGTGTGACCTGGCAAACCCCGCTGTTAGCACCTTTGATCGGGCCAGTGGCTGAGAGTTCCAAAGGTCAATTATGTCCTGCGAGTACAGCAGGAGGAGGAGGAGGAGAGTGGATTTATGCCCCGCCCTTCACTACCCAAAGGAGTCTCAGAGTGGCTTACAATCTCCTTCCCCTCCCCACAACAGACACCCTGTGAGGGAGGTGGGGCTGAGAGAGCTCTTTCAAGAACTGCCCTTGAGAGAACAGCTCTGAGAGACCTTGTGACTGACCCAAGGCCACACCAGCAGCTGCATGTGGAGGAGCGGGGAATCAAATCCTGTTCTCCAGATTAGAGTCCGGGCTCCTAACCAATACCAAGCAGTGCAGGGTCAAATTGGATAGCCTTTCCGGTTCCCCTCCCGGAACACAAAACACCAGCCAAAATGAGCAGGAAGGAGCCTGGTAAACAACGGGGGCGGCTGGCCTGGAAGTTCAGTTAAGCCTGCCAAGCTGCTCATTAGGCAGGTAGAGGGAAGAACCCTCCCCGCTCCGTGACCTCCGACAGGATCTTTCTGGGCCGCCCTTTCGAAAGGCATTATTATGTTAGCCATGCTTCCCCTCTCGGAGAGGAGGTTGCCCGGGGAGGGGCTGTCACCCACATCCCCTGCAGCGGAAAAAGGCCCGCTGGCTTGGAACCGCGGAGGGTTCTCGGGGTTGGGCGTCGGATTCTTGATCCCCAGAGGTAAATTACCCACACCCCCGGTCCCCCCTTCCGCGCTTGCTTTGCAAATAGAAGACAGGTGTCTGGGGTGGAGCGTTCTCTTTTCGGCTCATCTGGAGTTCATCAAGCACCCGGAGAGACGGCCCTGGGTGGGGAGGAGAAGGCAGAGGCCTCTGGCTGGGCCCCTTTCCCAGAAGGACAGGGCGGCCCAGAAACGAAAAGGGCGTTGGCGTGTACAAAGGGGGAAGCCACGGAAGGGGAGCCACCCCCGGGCATCTCACGGGCACGCCGCAGAGTATCTGCCAGGAACTTCCCGGGAGGACCTTTCGATTATGGCAAAAACGAGTTCGACTTGAGGACTCTGAAATCTACCGATAACAGGGGTCCCCCAACCCTTTTGAGCCTGTGGGTGCCTTTGGCATTCTGACATAGTGCGGTGGGTGGAGCCACAAAATGGCTGCTGCAGCTTAACTTCCGTCACACAGTGAAAATCTTTGTGCTGAGGTGACAGAAGAAGAAGAGGAGGAGGAGAAGATTGGGAGAAGAAGAGATTGGGCTCGTACCCCGCCCTTCACTACCCAAAGGAGTCTCAGAGCGGTTTACAATCTCCTTTCCCTTCCCTTCCCCACGACAGACACCCTGTGAGGTGGGTGGGGCTGAGAGAGCTCTCCCGAGGACTGCCCTTGAGAGAACAGCTCTGAAAGAACTTATGACTGACCCAAGGCCACACCAGCAGCTGCCTGTGGAGGAGCGGGGAATCAAACCCCGTTCTCCCAGTTTAGAGTCCGTGCCCCTAACCACTACACCGAACTTTAAGCTGTTGCCAAAGCAACATTTTCAAAAATCTGCACAGCCAATCAAATCACCGATGGCCAATCAGAAGCCTTGCTGGACAAAAGCCCCACCCACTTTCTAAAAACTTTCCACGGGTGCCAGGAAAGGAGTCCGCGGGTGCCACGTTGTGGATGCTTGATCTAGAACCATTTTTTATCCTGGAGCACAGGACGGGTACATCGATTGTGCTCTTGCAACACCCCAGGGAGGTAAAGTTGGGCTGAGTGCCTGCCCCGAGCCACCCTGCGCCCCTCGAGATACCCCCCCCCAAATCCTCGCTCTGATTCTGCCGTTTCCTTGTAGCGATCAAACCTCACTCCACATCATTTCTGATTTCTCACACTAACTTGTTTCTGTTGAAACGTACGCGGTTTCTTTTCAGCATTCTCTGTATATCAGAGACAGTCCATTTTATGTACGCTGTACAAACAAATGACACAATGCATGCATAGACGCGGTCTAAATTGTCAACGATTCTACAAATCTGAGTGTAAAAAGCAGAGAACAGAAACCACGGCTCAAAATACACAGGAGAGAAAGGGTGAGAGAGAGATCGTTTGTTTATTCCAACTCCCCTGGGTGGATTAAAAGTTACTCCTGTTTCTCCTTAAATATGAGAAAGACGCAAGGACCTGGGATGTGGATTTTGACGGCGTCGTCTTCTCCCATTTCTAACGCAGAAAGGCAGTCTTGGATAGGCGGAAGCATTCCCAGATGGAGTAAAGTTAGTTCCAATTTAGGCCTAGATGAGCTAACTCGATACCGGATGTATCAGGATTAGTTCTCAGCTCATGCCAAATGTATATAGTTAAGTTCTGAGTTACCCCTTGGATGGATTAAGACAGTCCTGGATGTATTAAGATCCGTTTCGACTCAGTTCCAGATGTGTCAAGATGGTCCCAGATATAGCAGGGCGAGTTCTGTGCTCGTTCCGGATGTATTAAGACAGTCCTGGATGTGTTAGGGTGAGTTCTGAGTTACTAACACATGAACTGAGACAGGGCTTAGTTCTGTGCTAAGATCCCATGAACTGACAGTCCCAGATATGTTCAAGTTAATTTTCAGTTGGTCCCAGATGTGTTAAGATTAATTCCAAGTTAGTCCCAGATGTGTTAAGCCTGATTCCAAGTTAGTCCCAGATGTATTCAGACAGCCCTAGATGGATGAAGACCAGTTCTGGGTTACGCCCTAGTGTACAAAGAGAGCTCCAGACCTATTAAAGATGGTTGTGGGTTAGTTCTAGATGTGTTAATGTTAACTCTATGTTAGTCACAAATGCATTAAGACAGGGCCGGATGTCTTCGGGTTAGTTCTGAGTTAGTAACGCATGAATCAAGACCGTTCCAGATGTGTTGAGCTTAATTTTCAGTTGCTGCCAGATGTGTTAAGACTAATTCCAAAGAACAAAGTTTGAGTCCAGTGGCATTCAAGATATAAGCTTTTGTGCGCATGCACACTTCTTCAGATATGTAGGTATCTTTTGGACTTCTACTGGCACTCTCCTATAATTCCCCTTTCCTCATAACCAACGCTCCCTCTAAGCTGTGGAGTCTTGTGAGCAAAAATTCTACTTTGTGAGCTACAGGCATTATTTATTTATTAGTTCAATTTATACCCGTGATTTGGCTATGGCAGAAATCAGTTTGCTCTGGAGCCCTCCTTCCTGAGCTAAGACAAAAATGGGTGAGCCGGAGGCTAAAAAAACTGCGCCAGCTCACACTAACTCAGCTTAGAGTGAACACTGCTCATAGTCCCTCCCCCCAGGGAGGCTGGGGAGTTAGGATTTCTCCGTCATCTTATACACCCAGCGATTCGAAAGCCTCGGCGAGTAGATAAAATGGGAACCACTCCTTAGAGAGGGTGGGCACACCAACTCCCCTGTGGGAAGGTGTTAGCTGTCGGTTGGGACGTCCTGCTCCAGGATCGGAAGGCGGAAGAAACTACTTGGCTACAAAAATCCCTGCAGTGGGATGCTCCGGCCAGGTGGTGGCAGTGTGGCGATACGACATATGGGTCCTGAAGCCCCAACGTCATCAAGCCGGTCGACGCAGCCGTTCGGGACATGACTGATCCAAGCCAGAGACGTTTCCACCGTGCAGTCACGGCATGTGCAATTGAAAATGAATCGTATGTTGTCTTTCCTATCCCCTATGAAAACATTGTTAGTCCCCTGTCTAAAAGTGTAACTGTAAATCACTTTGAGCCCACTTGTGGGGAAAGCGATTAATAAATCGAAATCGAAGCACTGAACAGATACTGTTTCTACCTACTGTTATTTATTGGATCGTTTTAATGTAATTTGTATGAGATTGTGTATTATTTGTTGTAAGTTGCCCTGAGCCATACACGTAGGGAAGGGCGGCATAGTAAATCTAATTTAACAAATACATAAATAAATAAACGAAATCTGATATGGATATGTATCTGAAGAAGAGTGCGTGCACATGAGAGCTTAGACCTTGAATAAAATTTTGTTGGTCTTAAAGGGGCCACCGGACTCTAAATTCATGCACGAATCGGGACAGACACACACAAAAGCTTATACTCATGCACACGAAAGCTGATACCCAGAATTCAACTTTGTTGGTCTTAGAGCCACTGCACTCAAACTTTGTTCTGCTGCTTCGGACCAACATGGCGACCCACCTGAAACTAATTCCAAGTTAGTCCCAGATGTATTAAGACAGCCCTAAATGGATGAAGGTCAGATCTGGATTAGGCCCTATTGCATTAAGAGAATTCCAGATGCAGAAAAGGTGGTTGTGAGTTAGTTCTACACGTATTAACATTAACTCTATGAAAGAGGAGAGCGCAAAAGTGGGCTTGAAGCTCAACATCAAAAAAACTAAGATCATGGCATCCGGCCCCATCACTCCTTGGCAAATAGAAGGGGAAGTCGTGGAAGTAGTGACAGACTTCACGTTCCTGGGATCCCAGATCACCGCAGACTGTGACAGCAGCCATGAAATTAAAAGACGCCTGCTCCTTGGGAGGAAAGCGAAGGCGAACCTAAACAGCATGATAAAAAGTAGAGACATCACCCTGCCAACAAAAGTCCGCATGGTCAAAGCAATGGTATTCCCAGTAGTCATGTATGGCTGCGAGAGTTGGTCTATAAGGAAGGCCGAGCGCCGAAGAATAGACTCTTTTGAACTATGGTGCTGGAGAAGACTCTTGAGAGTCCCTTGGACTGCAAGAAGATCAAATCAGTCAATCCTAAAAGAAATCAACCCTGACTGTTCCCTGGAAGGCCAGATAATGAAACTGAAGCTCAAATACTTTGGCCACCCAATGAGAAGGGAGCACTCACTGGAGAAGACCCTGATGCTGGGAAAGACTGAAGGTCAAAGAAGACGGGGACGGCAAAGGATGAGATGGTTAGACAGTGTCATAGATGCAACGAACATGAAGTTGAGCAAACCTCAGAGGACGGCGGAAGACCGGAAGGCCTGGCGTGATCTGGTCCATGGGGTCGCAAACAGTCGGACCCGACTGTGCGACTGAATAACAAAAGTTGCAAATACATTAAGACAGACCCGGATGTATTAGGGTTAATTCTGAGTTAGTCCCGGATATACTAAAACAGCCCCGGAGGAAATCAAGGTCCATTCTAAGTTAGTCCCAGATAGATTTTGCAAAGCCTGAATCCAAAAAGGCAGAGCAAAGGTAGGCTGTGAGGAAGAACCCCCCCCTCCCACGACGGATACTCACTCCTCAAAGAGGCGATAGGCTTCCACACGTTCACTCTGCAGACTGTAGAAGCGGCGGACTAAGGCCGGCACATCGTCCTCCGCCTGCAGAAGGAAACAAGACGCTGATACAGAGCACAGGGAGCAGTTATCTTTGCCCTTCTCCGCCACCACCAGAACTCGGAATGGAAAACGGCCAGATAATTTAGCTGTCCTTGCCATAGAAATTGGGGATAACTTATAGCCTAACCTGCAGTGGCTCAAGTGGTTAAGACGCTGAGCTGCAGACCGGAAGGTCGGTAGTTCAGCAGTTCGAGACCTGAGCGCCGCGTGATGGAGTGAGCGCCCGTCTCTGGCCCCAGCTCCTGCCAACCTAGCAGTTCGAAAGCAAGAAATTGCAAGTAGATAAATAGGTACCACTTCGGTGGGAAGGTAACGGAGTTCCGTGCACCTCGGCGTCTAGTCATGCCGGCCACATGACCACGGAAACGTCTTCAGACAGCGCTGGCTCTTCGGCTTGGAAACAGAGATGAGCACCGCATCCCTAGAGTCGGATTCGACTGGTTTTCGAGCAAGGGAAACATTTACCTTTACCTATAGCCTAACACTGAATACAGGTGTTTTAAAAAAACAAACCAAAACCCAAACACAGGCCAAACTTCTTCAGGTCCTCTGCACCGTGTTAAGCTGTCATTTGGAAAATGGTCTTTGTGTTCACCCAGAGTTGGCTTTTCTTGAAAGAAAACAAAAAGGGGTTGGATGCGTTTTGCGCAGGAACGTCCCGCTACAGTGGCGGGCTTGCAAACCTTCAGGCGGTAGAAAACAGCAGAAAAATGCCAAGGGAAGACCATCAAAGATTAAATGCACTTGACATGTCTGAGTTTAGGATATATTATTTAAATTACAAATAAACATCTATAACGAGTTGGTCCATGACCCAAAGCAAATAGAAACACAAGGTCCCCAAATCTAATCATATTTGCTCCTGGTGTATCATTCATCAACACTGAAATGCAAATAAGCATAACAGTAACTGCGCTCACAAGTGCCAATAACACGGCATGCACATAAATCCAACCGATCTAAATGCAATAAAAGTGTCCAAAGACCTCCTGCGGTCTTAAATCAAGCAGACCACTAAAAAAAAAAAATCTCCTATAGCCGAACAACACCTTTCCTAGGTATATGGACGTCTCAGTTTGGTTTGTGAGGAACCCTGGGATTCAATATAGATAAAAGAACTGGGAGTCAATGTAATTCTCTTAGAAATCGGGTTGCATTACTCAGCCACTAATCCAGAGGAAGAGAAATTGAAACGTCCATATACCTAGGAAAGGCGTTGTTCAGCTATAGATTTTTCACTGGTCGTCCTCTGCTTGATTTATGACTGCAGGAGGTCTTCGGACACTTTTATTGCACTTAAGGCAAGGAGAATCCACCGGTTGGATTTATGTGCATACCTTGTTACTGTTGTGTTTATTTGTATTTCAACGTGGATGCATGACATGCCAAAAGCACATATGATTTCAAGTGCATTTAATCTTTGATGGTCTGCCCTTCGTGTTTTCCTACTGTTTTCTACTATTACACGCTAGGGATCCTTGTTTTGTCTGCAAGCGGTGGCTGCAGATCTCTGGGGATTACAAGGGATGTCCAGGCGAAAGAGATCAGTTCCCCTGGAAAAAATGGCTGCTTTGGAAGGTGGACTCTATGAAATTAATAAGAACGTAAGAGAAGCCAATGTTGGATCAGGCCAATGGCCCATCCAATCCAACACTCTGTCACACAGTGGCCAAAAATACCAGGTGCCATCAGGAGGTCCAGCAGTGGGGCCAGGACGCTAGAAGCCCTCCCACTGTTGCCCCCCCCCAAGCACCAAGAATACAGAGCATCACTTGCCCCAGACCAAGAGTTCCTATTGATACCATGTGGCTAATAGGCACTGATGGACCTCTGCTCCATATGCTTATCCAATTCCCTCTTGAAGCCATCCATGCTTGTAGCTGCCACCACCTCCTGTGGCAGTGAATTCCATGTGTCAATCACTCTTTGGGTGAAGAAGGACTTCCTTTTATCCGTTCTAACCCAACTGCTCAGCAATTTCATTGAATGCCCAGGAGTTCTTGTATCGTGAGAAAGGGAGAAAAGTACTTCTTTTTCTACCTGCTCTGTCCCAGGCATAATCTTATAAACCTCGATTGTGTCACCCCTCAGCCGTCGTTTCTCCAAGCTGAAGAGCCCCAAGCGCTTTAACCTTTCTTCATAGGGAAAGTGTTCCAACCCTTTTATCATTCTAGTTGCCCTTTTCTGCACTTTTTCCAATGCTATAATATCCTTTTTGAGGTGTGGTGACCAGAACTGTACACAGTACCAATGCTCCCTCTAAGCTGTGGAGTCTTGCGAGCAAAAATTCTACTTTGTAAGCCACTGGCATTAAAGTTGTGAGCGAGCAACTGGGCTGCTGCATAAATTAGTTTGCTCTGTGGCCATCCTTCCTGAGCTAAGACAAAATTGTGTGAGTCGGAGGCTAAAAAACTGTGAGCCGGCTCACACTAACTCAGCTTAGAGTGAACACTGCACAGTACTCCAAATGAGGTTGCACCCTCGATTTAGACAGGCACATGATGATACTGGCTGATCTGTTTTCAATTCCCTTCCTAATAATCCCCAGCATCGCGTTGGCCTTTTTTTAAATTGCAGTTGCATACTGCCTAGACAGTTTCATTGAGTTTTCTACTACGACTCCAAGATCTCTCTCTTGGTCAGTAACCCATTGAAGCCCCTCCCCTCCCCAAACCCCGCTCTCTTCAAGCTCCACCTCCCAAATCTCCAGGTATTTCCCAACCCCGAGCTGGCAACCCTATACTGAGCTGTGATTTTTCAGCTGAAAGAGAAAGAGGCTCCCTTTGAACCACTCAGAAAGTGGTAAAAAAATCATCCTGGGACCACGGTTCCCTCTAAGCTGAGTTAGTGTGAGCTAGCTCACAGTTTTTTAGCCTCCGGCTCACGCATTTTTGTCTCAGCCCAGAAAGGATGGCTCCAGAGCAGACTAATTTATGCAGCAGCCAAATTGCTCGCTCACAACTTTAATGCCAGTAGCTCACAAAGTAGAATTTTTGCTCACAAGACTCGACAGCTTAGAGGGAACGTTGCCTGGGACCTGTGTGGACAAAACTCACATCAGATGGTGGCTACAGTGAAGAGAGGAACGGGAAAAGATCAAGCAGGAAAGCTGCTAGGGACCAACCCAATGGAACCTCTCTCTTCCAGGGCAGTCTACCTCCATCTGACAGGGAGGGGAGACCAGCAACGAGACACAGTCTTCCCCATTTCCACACCCTTTTGGCGAGCTTTCCAGAACCATATGTTGGAAACGCAGTGTAGGAAGAGAAGGAACTTTGGTCCGATCCAGCAAGGCGATCTTTCTCAGGCGATTCCCCCCCCCCCCCTTTTTCGGGAAAAAGACGATTCATTCTTCTCCGTGACCGAAACCTGGCTATTCTTTGGTCTGTTCCAAGTGCCTTTTTGAAAGAACAGCTTAAAGTTTTGGAAAGGTTCCCTACGCAATTGCTCCGTGATTGTAGGGGATGTATTTTTTTTTTCCTAACGCCTCATTTCAATATATATATATACACATACATATGCATGCAACTTTGAAAGAGGGTTCAAAGGCCCTCCAGTTGGCAAGCCCACAAAACCCCCTTTCCCCCCCCCACCCCCAACACCCCAGCTCTGTTTGGAAGGGACTGCGTCTGCTTTGGCTTCCTCGGCGGTGGGTTCTCTGCCAAGATCCGATTTCTCTCACACTCCATAAGAAATTTCCACTGGGCCTTTGAAGACTCGCTCTGCCTGGAATCACAGCCCCTTTGGCAGCGTTGCGGGAGCGGCGTGCCGGCGGCGGACTCTGCTCCGGCCAGCTCTGTACGCCTCGAACCTGGGTGGGGACGTCGGTGAAAGGCAGACGGCACGAACACAACAGCTGCGTCTTCTAACTTGGCAGCTGGAGTCTCCAGACGCCATTTCCTCTTGGAGACACCCCCCCCCCCGCCTCCATGGGCTGCCGCAAACCTTGCAGGTCCGTGGCACCAAAAGGCTCAATCTCGCAACCCCCGTGTAACTTTTAGGGGTGCCAGCTTGGATCCCCCGGAATTACAGTTCATCCCCAGACTACGAAGATCAGTTCCCCGGAGAAAAATGGATGCTTTGGAGGGTGGGCTCTGTGGCAGTCCGGTGTTCCCTCTAAGCCGAGTTAGTGTGAGCCAGCTCACAGTTTTTTAGCCTCTGGCTCACACATTTTTGTCTTACCTCAGGAAGGAGGGTTCCAGAGTAAACTAATTGATGCACCCGCCCAATCGCTCTCTCACAACTTTAATGCCGGTAGCTCACAAAGTAGAAGTTTTGCTCACAAGACTCCACAGCTTAGAGGGAGCATTGTGGGGCACTGTGTCCCACTGAGGTTCCTGTCCTCTCCAGGGTCCACCCCCAAACCTCCAGGAGTTTCCCAACCTGGCAACACTACCCTGCCCCCTGGTCCCCTGCTGGAGGCCGGGGGGACCTTGCTCCCTCTAAGCTGTGGAGTCTTGTGAGCAAAAATTCTTTTGTTGTTGTTGTTGTTCAGTTGCACAGTCTAGTCCGACTCTTCGCGACCCCATGGACCAGATCCCGCCAGGCCTTCCTGTCTTCCGCCGTCCTCTGAAGTTGGCTCAACTTCATGTTCGTTGCATCGATGACACTGTCCAACCATCTCATCCTTTGCCGTCCCCCGTCTTCTTTGACCTTCAATCTTTCCCAGCATCAGGGTCTTCTCCAGGGGTGGCCATAGTATTTGAGCTTCAGTTTCACCATCTGGCCTTCCAGGGAACAGTCAGGGTTGCTTTCTTTTAGGATTCACTGATTTGATCTCCTTGCAGTCCAAGGGACTCTCAAGAGTCTTCTCCAGCACCATAGTTCAAAAGAATCTACTCTTTGGCGCTCGGCCTTCCTTATAGTCCAACTCTCGCAGCCATACATGACTACTGGGAATACCATGGCTTTGACCAAAAATTTGAGCAAAAATTCTACTTTGTGCCATTAAAGTTGTGAGCCAGCGATTTGGCTACTGCATAACTTAGTTTGCTCTGGAGCCTTCCCTTCCTGAGCGAAGACAAAAAATGTGCGAGCCGGGGGTTAAGAAACTGGGAGCTAGCTCACACTAACTCAGCTTAGAAGGAACACTGGTCCCAAGCAATCCTCCCTCTAAGCTGTGGAGCCTTGCGAGCAAAAATTCTACTTTGTGGTATTAAAGTTGTGAGCGAGCGATTTGGCTACTGCAGAGATTAATTTGCTCTGGACGCAATGTTCCCTCTAAGCTGTGGAGTCTTGTGAGTAAAAAATCTACTCTATGAGCTACCGGCATTCAAATTGTGAGTAAGCGATTTGGCTGCTGCATCGAACTAGTTTGCTCCGGAGCCATCTTTCCTGAGCGGAGGCAAAAATGTGTGAGCCGGAGGCTAAAAAACAGTGAGCTAGCTCACACTAACTCAGCTTAGAGGGAACACTGCTCTGGAGCCCTCCCTTCCTGAGCGAAGACAAAAAAATGTGCGAGCCGGGGGCTAAGAAACTGGGAGCTAGCTCACACTAACTCAGCTTAGCGGGAACACTGGGCCTGGCAGCGCTCCTCATGTTGCCCTTTAGTGGAGGACCTCCCCGTGTTAATCTCCACCAGCACGGCGAACCTCTGGCCCTGCGGCAGATTGCTTCTTTTCCAAAACGCCTGTACAACAGGGTTCTGGCACGCATACACCCTTTCCCTTTCCAAATTGGGGGGGGGAAGCCCCCCTAGCGCAGGGGAGGGAAAGGAAGCCCACTGCTTTAGCAGCAACCAGGGCCGAACCCTAGCCCGGGGGTGGGCGTTCGGTTCCCCCTCCCTTCCCTATATTTCACCCAATTAAACTGACAATCTCCATGTGGTCTCTTCCAAGCCTTTAAAAAAATCCTCCCTCCCTTTATGGCAAGGATCCCACCCGCCTGCTGGCATCTGTGGGAACGCGGGGGTGGAAGGCATTTGATCGCAGGATGCAAAATCGGACCCCCGGTTCCCTGCCCCAGAAATCTAGTCCGACGGACCATTGGGGCTGGGACGTGCCGTCAAGTCGCAGCCGACGTACGGCGGACCCCGTCGGGTTTTCTAGGCAAGAGACGAACAGAGGCGGTTGGCCATTGCCTCCCTCTGCATACCAACTCTGGGCTTCCTTGGTGGTCTCCCATCCAAATACTAACCAGGGCTAACCCTGCTTAGCTTCCAAGATCTGACGAGTAGCTAATTGCATGAAGCACAAGAGTCGCAGTGGCGGAGGAGTTGGAAGAGTGAGTTGCCAAGCCCACGGTTCAAGTCTTGCAACAGCTCTGCAAGACGGAAGAACCGCCCAGCAAGATTAGACCAAAGCTCAAGTGGTTAAGACGCTGAACTGCAGGCTGTGGAAGGTCGGTAGTTCAGCAGTTCGAGACCCGAGTGTGCCGCATGACGGAGGGAGCTCCCGTCTCTAGCCCCAGCTCCTGCCAACCTAGCAGTTCGAAAGCAAGAAATTGCAAGTAGATAAATAGGGACCACTTTGGTGGGAAGGTAACAGCGTTCCGTGCGCCTTGGTGTTTAGTCATGCCGGCCACATGACCACGGAAACGTCTTCGGACAGCGCTGGCTCTTCGGCTTGGAAACGGAGATGAGCACCGCAACCTTGAGTCGGATTTGACTGGCTTTCGAGCAAGGGAACCTTTACCTTTTACCCTCAGTTTCTTGGTCCAAATCCCGCTTCCAGCCAGGGCTTGAAGGCAGTGGCCTTCCTCTGCTGGTTGTCCACAGCACCTAGTATGCAGAGGTAGACTGCCACTGAATGTGGAGGTTCCTTTTTTTTAAAAAAAAAAGTGATCACAGATAATTTATGGACCTGTCCAGTGTTCCCTCCAAGCTGAGTTCCCTCTAAGCTGGCTCACTGTTTTTTAGCCTCTGGCTCACACAGCTTGGTCGTAGCTCAGGAAGGATGGCTCCAGAGCAAACTAATTTATGCAGGAGGAGGAGGGGCTCAGAGAGCTCTTTCGAGGACTACCCTTGAGAGAACAGCTCTGAGAGAACTTGTGACTGACCCAAGGTCACACCAGCAGCTGCAAGGTGGAGGAGAGGAGAACCAAACCCGCTTCCCCCAGATTAGAGTCTGCGCTCCTAACCACTACACCAAACTGGCTCTTAATAAGTCACTGTGTTAATATAGGGTTGCCAGGTCTCCCCTGGCCACTGGTGGGGGACAAGGATGTAGGGTTGCCAGATCCAGGTTGGGAAACTCCTGGAGACTTGGGGATGGAGCCTGTGGAAGACGGGGACCTCAGTGGGGTCCAGGGCCAGAGAGCCCACCCTCCAAAGCAGCCATTTTGACCAGGGGAACTGATCTCTGAAGTCTGGAGAGGAGATGCAATTCCAGGGGATCCCCGGCAATGCTCCCTCTAAGCTGTGGAGTCTTGTGAGCAAAAATTCTACTTTGTGAGCTCCTGGCATTAAAGCGGTGAGCAGGTGATTTAGCTACTGCATAAATGAGTTTGCTCTCTCTTGGAAAGGAAAAGCAATTCAACTACTTTTTATGGTTGAAATGGATAAGATGACAAGGAAATTGAAGAATATGGCAACAGAAGACTCTTTTTGGAAGATTGGAAAGACTTAAAAAAATATCTGGAAAAATACTGGGATGTGAGAGACAATTTATGTTGCTTTGATAACTATTGAGTATAGAGAATTGTGAAAAAATAAGTTACCTGTAGAAAATGTAAAAGATAAAGAGGAGTACTTAAGAGTAACCTAAAGATTATGGAGGGGGTGGTGAGACTTGGGGAAGCATTAATGGGGGGGGGGGGGAGGGAGGAGGGGAGGATATAAAGGGATAAGAATTGTAATACAAATGTTGAACTTTGTTGAATGTATCCTAAAAATAAAATGTTTACAAAAAAAAAAAAAAGGAAAGAAAAAGCAATTCCTACGGTAGCACAATGGGTGCATAAAATCTGGGATTTGTTTATGTTCAACGTTTTTTCTGTTCATAAGGATTCTAACCACAATGAACAACTTTTTCGCAATCCGTCAAGTATTTGGTTTCCTTTAGCAGAAAAGATAGATTTAGAATGTTTTTGAATGGGAGGCTATTAAAGCTGCCAAATATAAGTGCCTACTATTTTGTTGAGGCTACAAAAGGATTTTGCTTAATAGACTGTATTTTCACAGACGTTAATGGTTGTCAGTTTGTCAAAATTGCTTATATAGTTAAACAGTTTTGTAAATGATATGGTTGTTGCGCCCCTTTTCTCCTGTTGTCATATATATATTATGCCACCGCTGCTGCTATTTTAAAGTGTAACATTAGATAATTAAATAAAAAATGAGTTTGCTCTGGAGCCCTCCTTCCTGAGCGAAGACAAAAATGTGTGAGCCGGAGGCTAAGAAACTGGGAGCTGGCTCACACTCAACTCAGCTTAGAGGGAACACCGATTCCCCAGGTCCCACCTGGAGGCTGGCATCCCTGTTTAACAACGATGATTAAAAACCCCTTCGGAAGAAACCTCCTTCTGGCCTCGGGCTCCCTCTAGCGGTCACGGAGCGCTGTGGAATGCGCCGAGTAAGAAAAGGCCCCTTAAAAATGGCTCGCTTGGTTTATTGATTCGTTTTTCGACTCTGCAGCTGCAGTCCCGCCCCCCAGCCATGCAAGGAGGACCTGGGCGGGAGAACAACCCCAGCACGCCCCCCTCCCCGGTACCTGCCCGGGCGCCAGTCCCGTCTTGGCTCACCATGACTCCAGGCCGAATCCCCTCGCCAAAGGCCGGCCCTTTCCCTTCCTGCCGCACAAAGCGGCGCTCCGGCACCTGGCCACGCTTGCGCCGCTGGAGCCGGGCCCGCTGCTGCCTCCTGCAGGCGGGACGGCTGCATTGCAGTGCTGGAACAACCCCCCCCCCCCCCATGCTCCCTCCCTAAA